GTGGCAGCTGCTCCTGGACATCAGCGTTTTTGAGTCCTTGGCTGTGCCCCGGCAGAGGCCGCACGGAACTCGGCTGGGGCTCTGCTGCCCCTCCTCCCCTCAGGGCGCGCTCGTTCTCTGCTGCTCCCCTCATGGGGCGCTGCTGCTCTCGCTCCCCCATTCCCCTCCCCACCCTGCTAGGGAAGCGGCAGTGAGCCTGGTCTGGCGGGGAAGGTCGGGGTTTCTTCACCCCCTCTTCCCCCACACACACCCTGCCAGTGGGAAGCCTGACCTGGTGCTGTAGCCCCACAGCTGCACTGGGATTCCTGCTTCATGGGGAGGAGACTGAGCTCCCTCTCCTGCCCCCCTCCTGAGGGAATGAGAGTTTGTTGCCTGGAGGCTTTCCCTGTTGCAGCAAGGTGCCAAGCCAGATAAGCATTCTCCCTCATGCCCAGACCCCGCACCCAAATCCCCCTCTCTTACTCTCCTCCACCAAGACCCCACATCCCCAGCTTGCTCTGACACCCTCCCTTGCTCCTGCACTCTCCCTCCTGGCCGGACACCCCGCCCCAAGCTCCATCCTGTACCCTCCCTCCTGGCCAGACACCCTACTCCCAGCCTGTCTGTGCACCCTACCTCCCACTCAGACCTTGCAACCTCTCCCCCTTCTGCACCCCCCTCCCACCCAGATCCTAGACCCCATCCCTATTCCACACATTGGCAGCCCTGTTCTGCGCACTGAACCTTTTTTTTCTCCCCATGCCAGAGCCTAAGGGGGTCCATAAAATCCACTAACTCCAGAACCTCAGAAAAGTAAATCTGGTCTATGGGAAACCCTGAATTAGGAATGTTAGCAAAAGCTTAATGGGTAGTCGAGTAGAGTATCGACTACTTGCTTCCCCCCCCCCACCTTCTTGCTGCCTCTCATAGAGGTAGCAAGGAAGGGGAAATAGCTGGTGCTGGGGGGAGCCAACTTAAAAGCCAGTTTCCCCCCGTACCATCTCCACAGTGCTGCTTGCCCCCGCTCTCGTTGCCTCTATCAGAAGCAGCAGCCCCTGTCCATGGGAGGCTGAGGCTCG